ATATTGAGGAATATGCAAACAGATTGCATAAAAACTTAAAGTTTACAAGTGAAGATGAACAACAAAATGAAATGAATTTCTTAGACGTCACCATAAAAAGAGAAGAAACAAGTGTATCATTTAGTAAGTATGAAAAACTATGTAATAATGGTAAAACTATTAACTTTAAATCTTACTGCCCTTTAGAAAATAAAAAGAACGTTTTTATCATGGAATTGAGAAAGATATTAAATCGAACAACTCAGCAAGAAAATATAGACATTGAAGTAAAACAATTGTTTAAGAAATTTCAGTTAAATGATTATCCGAAGTATATTCTCTGTAAGTGGTACAATTTATATTTAAAACGTAGATTTAATGTTAAAAACAGTATAGAAGATATTTCTTATGTAAAGTTTCCTTACGTTACTAATCTTTTTGAAAAATATAAACCGATATTTAAAGAATTTTCTATATGCATAGTTGCGAATCAAAAGAATAAAATGTCAAACAATATCAACATAATAAATAGTGAAAAATCGCCCAGAGACCAATTTAAGATCGCCGGTGTCGTATATAGAATGTCATGTACATGTGGAAGCCCAAATTATTACATTGGAGAAACCGGAAGAAGATTGGAGTTGAGAGTAAAGGAACATGAGGCGGCCATTAGACTGAGAAGAACGGAATCAGCATGGTTTTTACATTGTAGAGAATTTAATTGTAATATAAATATAAAAAATACTAAAATATTGTATAAAATAGAAAATAATTTAGAAAGGAAAATTGTAGAACATTTTTGTATCGCCGAACATGTAAATTTGATTAATTTGAATACTGGAATGATTGTTGATGCATGCTGGGAACGGCTGTTGGGTATAAAACGTAACCAACTAATAACATCTTGATGTATTCACTGAGGAGGCCTAGATGGCGAAATGCATATGGATAAATTTAATAAAGTGATGATTGTTTTTTGCCATTTGTTTGTCTTGTTTTGGCTCATAGAATCCTAGAAGTCGGAAATAGAATGAGTATAATTTTACTTGTTTTTTAACTAAAAATTTTTTATTTTTAGTATATTAATATTACCACCGATCCCATTGGTTTTAATAATTGAATATTCAGCTTGGTTATTTGTGATAATAAATATCTCTTGTATAAATATTTGTGTAAAATATCTTTTACAAGTTGTTAATCTTTAGAATAATTTTTACTACAAAATTGATAATTACAGTAAATTCTTTTATGTACTTTAATTATCAAGAATTACTTTTAATTTTTTTTTATTAAGGTGTGTGTATAAATATATATATACACCAAACTTCCAAACTTTAAATATAATGTTTTATATTTTTACAGAATCCAAGTAAACCACATTTTAATCACTTTTTATTTGAAACATTAAGTTTATCAATCAGAATTGCCTGTAGAACCAATCGTAATTCTATTACAACATTTGAAGATGCTCTTTTTCCTGTATTTCAAGATATCTTGCAGCAAGATGTCCAAGGTAAATATTATTTTCTTATAAATAGTTAATCTGAAACTCTAGTCATTGTCATATTGATTGTAACTTTTTTTCAAATTCGAATCATTCGGTTCACAATTTATTATTCATTTAACTACTTATTCTATTAAATAGGAAGTTTAAGAATCATTTCTCATTTGTAATTGTGATTGCCATACGTTCAAAAACAAATTTCAATAAAATAAATATTTAATGAATTTAGAAACCAAATTTCTAATAACTCAGTCAGATGATTGTACAATAAAAGCTATCTGACTGAGCTATTATATCATTACTTTTTCTGAGATACAGTATTATGAGAGAATCTAATCTGATTAAATTCTTGAGTAGTTCAAAAAAAAAATTTGTTTTTATACAGCAGTGGCTGATGGATGAAATTATTGAACAGTGGGTTATTTCACATNTATTATAATGGAGAATTAATTTACTTGATGATAACTCTACTTGAATTATATGGTTGATTTTAAACTCTAAAATCTAAAAAAAACTTGTTTGGAACTTTATATTTCCAATTCAATATTTCAAATTTGGAACAAATTCAAATACTCATTTGAATTTGTTTATTTTGGATTTATTGTTTTTGGGGAAGTTCTCATTGTTTGCAAAAATCTGTGCTAGGTATTCAAATTACCCAAAAGGTGGAAATGATTAAAATATTTATTAATTTCCAAAATGTATACTAGATGTGCCACTATTTACTTTCCTTCTTTATTATTTACACTTTATACTGACTAAAACTAATTCTCTCCTCTTCCCTCAAGGGGGTTGGAATTTCCAAAAATCCCTTCTTAGTGCGCATTCTCATGGCGTACCCTACTAAAACACATTTAAAAACAAAAAATTTCATCTAAAATAGTACAGTAGAAGCGGAGTTTTTTAGGATAAGTCTTAATCCTCTCCCCTGTGGAGGGGAATTTCGGAAAATCCCTTCTTAGTGTACTGTACATTCTCATGACACACCCTGTGTACCAAATTTCAACTTTCAACTCCTAACTGTTTGGGCTCTGTGCTTATTATTATTATCATTATCAACCCATCTTGATTATATTATAAGATAACTTTCATTATATAAGTAAAAACATTTTTTGCTATGTTTAATGCAGATTAATCCAAAGTAATTCTTGCTGAAGAGAATATATTGAATACAAGAATTGAGAACTATTCAATTTAAAAAGTTTTTATTGTTTGCAAAAACCTTTGCTAGGTATTCAAATATTTGCAATTCTTTGATATAATCTTTGTGAACATGCCACTCTGAGAACTAAAACTAGTGCCTTACCCAAAAACTAGAAATTTTAATTGCATTACACTAATACAAAGTTATTGTGATCTGACTTCTCAAAAGAATCTTAATGCATTAATTAATTATTAACTTCAATTACTGTAATTGCCTACAATGTTAATCAGTATTTTCTTGTATATTTGGTACTAGTTAGATACTAGCTTTTTCATACAAGGAAAGGAATATACTTATTGTCAGTGAATTACATTTGTTACTGATTCTCAATTTTCTTTGAATCTTGAAAGCTATCTGTTTTTAAAAGTTTTTGATTCTACCTTTGATTAATTCCAGCAAAGACTAATGCTAATAAACATTGTGTCACATATGTCTTTTGTCACATGATCTTTGTTTCTCTGAAAAAATTGAATTATTGAAATTTTTGTATTAACTTATCCTTATAATATTTAATGGTGAATAACAAATATTATCTAATTGTTTTGAGCTAGATTTTTATTTAGAAAAACACATTATTATTTTACTTTATTTTATAACTCAGCACTTTGATATCAGTAAACATAAAGAATTTATTTAAATTTATATTTTATTAGCTTCCAAAGCAACTTGTGATATCAAGCATTCCACATTTAATCAACTTATTGACGTCATCTAATGTAGTTGTTCATACTTACGCTGCTCATGCTTTGGAGCGTATATTTACTGTCAAAGATACAAATGGTGCAACAATGTGAGTATACCTAAATTTTAAATGTTTTAATCAATTAAATTCAAGAAATTGTCATATTTGATTATGATTAGTCTTATTTGGAACTTATTTTTTATTAAAATTTCTTATCAGATTGAACATGTAGTACTTTTAATATGTATTATTAATAATAATGTTAGAAATATTAACTCTTTAATATTTTTTAATAATACTTGGATAAATTTATAAGAAATAAATGCTATATGAGCTTCTTAAGAGAACTTTATTTTCTTATAACAAAAAAATTTTGTAATTAAAAGCTTGCCTAGAAGTGTAATAAAATCTCTTTCTAAGGATAAAAGAAAAATTCATATTTAGATATTTTTCATTTAGGTATACATTTGTAATAACATACATTTATTTGGAATATTTTCTTTTTCTATTAGTTATTTGATTACAGACTATTTCCCTTATATTTAATTATTGGTATTAATTTTTAATTATTGTTTAGTTCCAAAAAATAACTGCCAAGTTTGATCATGTGTTAAAAACTGTATAATTGAATCATTAACAATAGTGAAATAAATCATATGCATTTGATTAGACCCACAGGTTTTATTTACTCCATAGGCTCAAATACAGATTCCAGTTGCATTTAAAAAATAAAACCCATGTGGTTTATTCACATCATATTTCCTAAGCTACGGATTACTGTAAACATCCTATTGAAATTGTTTAAATTGTTCTGTTACATTTTTTATCTGTTGCTTTTCAGAATTAGTTTTTGGTTTTCATTCAACAACCCCTGCAGCCACTCATACCAACACATGCAAAAACTAATTTTGTAAAAATAAACCCACAGGCTTGAATATATTTACACTTCAAACAGATTTTAAAAAATAGACTGACAATGGGTCTATTTGAATGCTTGTGGTATAATTTTATACAAACATGTAAGAGGAAATTTGATTTTCCTACTTTAAAAAATGAAATATGAACATATTTTACAATAACAGAATTCTTTTTTATAAAACTGTCTTTTATGTTAAGACACAATATTTTCTAAGAAAAATAAAAACATACCATAAGTCAAATACTTTTAGAATTCAAAGAATTCGTTTTTTATACTTTCTTTTTTGATGTCTTTCAGAATGTGAATGATAAATAATAATCAGATTCAGCTTTCACAAGTTTTAATGTAGTTTACTGGGAGTTACAAATTTAATGATTTAACCAATTTTTTCAGTCTTAGGCAAACTGGAACAAAAAAATGTTCATTGCTTCAAAATGTGAATGTTTTTTTTTACCAGGTTTTAAGTAAGACATACTATATTTATTGAAATGAACTTTTGAGCTCATTTAATAAAAATAAAAAGTTTGTTAAGCACATGCATTATAAGATGTTTAATATTTTCTTAATGAAAATGTACACTTTCATATGCTATCTTGGGTGGTTTACTTGCTTGAATTATACAAGAACATACACACACAAAATACAGTGTAAATATAGATGGAAATAAAACAATTTATTTTCATCTATTTTTTGCCAAAACTGAACAACAAATTTCTTTTCTACCTGCTGAAAAACAGTAATTTATAGGACTATTCTTTCTCAACAGGATTCATTCTAGTTGCTAGATTCTCTTTTGATTCAAAAAATGGTAGATAGCCTTCACTGGTCTGTACAGGATCCAAAATATGTTTAAATCCTACAATAAATTTAGATTTAATATGAATATTTGAGATTATTTATGAAAATTTACTAATTTTTAATATATTTCACTTCATTGTTCAACATTAGGTTTATCTGGATAGTATTGTAATTTAAGCATTGGCATATCATTAAATCTAAATTGTGTATTATGTATTTGTAACAATTTACAAACCTATTAATTCAATTATGATATTATTTAACTAACTATTTCAAAAATCCATCATCATATAAACAAAAATTATTTAATTGTATTCCTGATGCTTTTGTGTTGGCTTTTCAATTGAGTACTTGAGTTTCTGTCTTCAATAGATTCTAATTAGTACAAATTAATAATAGAAGTATAATACACTGCTTTCTGTTAATTTCTCATACTCTATTTACACATTAATTTCTCTACTTAAAAGTCTGATAAGTAGAATATTTATTAATTTCTTTTTTGAAACAGTGAATAAACTAATTAATATTTTCATTTATTTATTTTTTATTTTTATTCAGACTCAATGGCTGATAGGTAAATAAGTGTTTTGTAGCATTTTGATGTTTGGAAATCTTGGATTAATTATTTCAAAACAAGGTTCAAACTTCAGCCATAAGAAATAATAGGAAAGCTAGTCTCTATTTGAGATGTTTGCAGAATGAGTTGCACTTACGAATTACACTGTACTACTAATGTTGATATTGTTTAATGAAATAAAATATTTTGCTATGTATATAGATAAGCAGTTAGTCTTATAGCAATTTCTCTCCTTTATAAGTAGTAATAACAATTTTAATGTGTACTTTTTGTTTCTGTTTAGTGTTTCTGTAAGTGATATTCAGCCAGTAATGGACAGACTACTGAATAATCTCTTTGCAGTTATTGAATGTGAAGGGTCTGCAGAAAATGAATATATTATGAAAGGTAATAAAAAGTTTATTTTATTAATATTGTTTAGAAAAATTTTTAAAAACATTTTCGTGAAAAATATGAAATTCTTCTTTAAGTTGCAATTCCATGCATCATATTTATCCTATTTTTCTATTTTTTAATTGTAAAGTAGAAAATAACCTACTTTCTAAGACAATGCCCTAATTATCCTACTTTTTTGTCTAAGTGATAATACAGGATAAATTTTTCCTAAATGAAGTGTATGTATTGCATAATCTTAGCTTTGATATTCCTTTCTATATATAAAAACTTAATGCAAAATCTTGTAATCACTTAATGGTAACTTTAAATTAAAACTTTAAAAAAATTAAGCTTCTTTAATCTAAATCTCAATAATAGTTTTTTATAATAAAGTCCCAGTGAAGATCATGAGGAAAATTGTTGCTCTGAATTTTTCTAAGCTATTCTAGCAATTATCAGTAAACGTTTTCCTAATTTAATAGAAATTAAATTAGGAAAATGTTTACTGATTTAATTAACAATATTAACTCTATGACCAATATATTTAGTAAATTTTCTGATTTTATTTGCACTAAACCACTTTGATTTTGTACATTACATACTTTTAGCTCTAATAAAAGCAGAAAATATGTCAAACTTATTAATATTAGCAAGGTTGTGGCTGAAGTTTTCATCTGTAAAACGTGAATGTTGAACGTCAAGCACCGCTATCTGTAAGCAATGTTCACATTTTAGAGATGAAAACTGTGGTCACAACCTTGCTATTAAACGGCCAAAGCATTAACTTCTGATGATTAAAGTTAATGTGTGCTGATTTAAAAGTTTTTTGTGAGTTTATTATTGTCATTTCAATATACAGTGAAATCCCATTTTTGCATTTCTTAATTTTTTTTCCATCTATTTGTAAGTCCTTTCATTGAATGAAAGGAAACTAACTGTTGATTTAATGTTCACTGTGATTAAACATCATTTTTAGTAGTCCCAACTAATGCTTTATAAAAGATATTAAATTTAAGCTTCATTTCTTGATTTACATTAAATTTTGATTTTTAATTAAGGAGCAAGTTTTTTGGATCTGCATATCCAAAGATGATTTCAATTAATGTTTACAAAACAGAAGAGACAATGAATGATTTTTTGGGACTCAAGTTTTGCAGCCCTCTATTTTGCGGGAACGGATAATTACTCATGTTTTAAGGATATTCAATGTTTTAAAAATAAAAAATGCACAGAACAGAAACAATTACAAAAAAAAGAACAATATATACTATATAATTAAAGGAGCTGATGCTAAAAAAATTTCAAAAAATTGCTTGCTTGCTTTTTACTGTAATACAGTAGAACCTCGATTATCCGGACTAATTGGGGATGAAGGTAGTTTGGATAAGGAAAAATCCGGATAATCGAAACAAATACTTTAATTTGTCTTTTAATGATAATACAACATGTTTTCTTTTCGATGACATATCGGTAATATTAAAAGTAAATACTGTATTTAAATCGTAATCAAATTTTCAAGAAACAAACATTCTTATTGCATTTGGACTACTACTGACCAACACTAACAGACTACCTATTGTTTAAAAGGCCCTCTGGTGGCGCAAGAAGACGGATTTTATAAAATAAAAAGCAGTTGAAACTGCATTTTTATGAATAAAAATTTGACAAACT